GTTCAGGGGTGAAGTTCCAAAACATCAGAGGTCCCCACTGTCCTAGGTACTTGCCCATGTTATCCCCACACTCCCAGCCACCCATAACTCTCCAACATTGGGGTAGGTCTGTGAGTGGTATTCAGAAACAGTTGCTTAATCCTAAACAAAATCTGAACCACATTCAGGAACACTGCAGCTCCCAGCAGTGAGGCAACAACGTTAGTGTGAGCATTCCACAGATATTCAAAATTCTCAGCATTCTCAAACACACTTGCAAGTAGCCTGGAGAAGGGGAAGATGGAAGAAGATATCTCCCCTTTAGGTTGGCTCTCCAAGGAGAAAAGGTGGAGGGTGTAGTTGCTAACCCATTCCAATAGGTGCCCCCTAGTGTACACAGACGATGACCATGCTGAGTACAAATGCCAAACTATTCTCAGGACTGATGATTTTATGCCATAGATTAGTGTTACATAATACAGCAAGGCAAAAATTTTAATCCAGTTCCCACAGTAATAAGCAACAGAGTGGGGACTAGATACAGCAAGTAATGTGATGTATAACACAACTGTAGAAACAAAGACCACAATTCTAGGAGCCAAGTGATCGACATTATAACAGGATGGAGAGTAGACATTGTAACAAATTTGGTGGGACACAGAGATCAATTCTGTTGTTATCTCAACCATTCGCGCCCCACGTTGGGCACCAAAAAGGACTGTCGTGGTTTGAGCCTGGTTGGCAGCCAAACACCACGCAGCCACTCACCAACCCTCCCCCACCTGGGAATGGGGAAGCAATTGGAGGGGCAAAGGGAGACTCGCAGGTTGAGATAGAAACAGTTTAATAATAGTAATAAAATAAAACGGTGACAGTAATAGGAAGTATAAATGGGCAATGCACAATTCAATTGCTCACCACCTGCTGACTGACACCCAGCCCGTTCCTGGTTAGCGATCCCAAAACACCTAGACCCTGCAATTGCAATTCCAGAAGCAAGAGAGAGTCCATTCCCGACCACCCCTTCTCTATATAGTGAGCATGTTGTTACATGACATGGAGTATTTCATTGGTCAATTTGGGTCCAGTGCTCTAGCCAAGTTCCCCCCCTGCTTCCTGTGTACCTGCGCACAGGCAGGACATGGGGAACTGGGGAGTAGTCCCTGAAATTTCAGTGTGCTATCAGCATTCTTCTAGCTACCAAAAATGAACATGAACTCTATTCCAGCCCGAACCAGGACAAGAGGGAACATTTTATTTCTTTCAGATTATATTATAACCTTCTCTGTTTTGTAACCCTACAGATTACCTTTTGTGACTTATCTATTATGGTCAGCACACAGCTCCTGAAAAATATTGAATTGTATTACATATTTCCTTACACTTCTATTTGCTGTGTGTTACATATTTTGGAGCAATGCCAACTTTTATTTGGAAAAAAAAATACAGATGAAGAATGGTTTCTATGGTATTTTGCTGAAAATCATTTGTAATAGATCATTAAGAAGGACACATTTCTACACTCTCAACAGATGCATTTTCAAAATGTCTAACTATTCTGTGAAGATTTGCTTGATTCAGATTTCTGTTCACACAATGACATCACTCCAGAGGAACTAAGTTACTTGAAACACCTTTCATTTTGGGGACAAAATCTTTTTCATTAATAATGTTTCTGTCTGCTGCATCAAAATTTTCTGCAGTTCCATTAGGGCTGTTTTCGTAATCACTGTTCCTTCAGTAGAAATGACTGCTTGACTTGTGCTATTCTCACTTTCAATAAAGATATTTTTAGGAACAATATAGATTTTATCAAAAGAAGTATGTTCTTGTTCTTCCTAATTTTAAGCTTGATGAAGTGGTAAAGTTAATTTTATGCTGACAGTAAGTGGCTAAATAAACTGGAATCTTTTAGCCACAACTGCAATATTGCCTGGGGTAGTGGTGCTGCTGGAAGGTCACATTTTCACAGGGCACCTCATCAGTTTTGAGACACAAGACCTGCTTTCTGATTTGAGGTGAAGTTGACTCTGCATAGACATCTGGGTTTTGACCCTTCTGTAGTGATTGCAAGATGCGAACTCTTCATACTATGCATTTTTTTGTAATGTGGTTCTTTATCCTTGCCATTTGAACTCACTCCACCATCACATTTCAGGGAGCCAAATAACTGTCAAGCTAAAAGAATGTTCAAATTCAATCAATCTAAACTGGCTTCAAAAATATGGCCTAGAGGTTAAAGATTTAATATTCTAATTTTAGTTTGACAAGCTATTGAACTGACAGATAGTGTTAAGAATTTTAATATATTAATTTAATACTCATGTATGTTCATGAAGTTAATCAGAAAAACTTTAATAATTGCCTCCTTTATGATAACAGAAAGTCAAATATTGCCTCTTATTTGCTATATCTACTTTTTCCATCTTTTTCATGAAACACAACAAATTAATTCTAAATAATGAAGACCTTTTGTCTCCTTTTGGACATATCTTAATTATCAGTGAAAGTGCCACAGACATATCCCTGTTCATCTAAATTTACACATGGAATCTGAGATGCAGTGAAGCCTGAGGGATATGTTTCATATTTCAGTACTACCAAAATTTCACCCTTAAGATGAATTGCACGTTGACATTTTCAGGACTGAAACTGTGCTCCCCAAGCAGAGAAAAACAAAGCACTGAATTTCTGGATTTCTGGTTAAAAGAAATTGATACATAAGAGAAGCAACCTCTATTCAATTTTGAAAATAGCCTTTTTTTATTGCCATGACACTTAGCTAAATTAATTTCTGTAGGAAATAAAGTTTACACAATTTGGATTTGATTTTCCATAACATCTGAAATAGAAAATGTATGGAAGTTGAAAATTGTATATCACTGGATATCTGACATAGATCCGGAATTGTTATAAAACTGATATAAATGTTAAACAACTCAAGCTTTGGTATAAGTTATGACTTTTTAAAATTTTATTTTATTTTTAATTTCCCATTGGCTTTTCATTACTATTGATTCCTTCAGGGAAATTTCTTGCATTTGATAGGGTGATAGGATTTCAGCTAAAGAAATTATAAGAAAATACTTTTATTCAAGATTTATAATAATAATAAAAAAAAATGGCAGCAATCTAACTGTAATGAATCAAGGCTTCTTGAACTGTGAAATATCAGTATTATTATTAAAGTCATATTTAATTAAAAAAATACACTACTGCAAGAGAGGGCATAAATCAGTTAGGCTGTATTTACTAGTTTTTACTTTAAGAATGTGAATTTGTTCTGAAAATGTTTATGAATATGAGTAAAATATAATACTGCATGGAAACTACTTGTACTTTTACAGTAAGACTAACCAAGTCAAGGGGATAATTTCAATAAAAGCAAATTAAATTTTGGCTAACTAAATTAAATAGAAGGATGACCACATGGCAGGATTTAGATCACATTTAATCTGTTACTGATTTGCAAAGTCAAGAAAAAAAATCCTTCAAAAGGAAACTTTATATCAAAATGGAATTTTGTTGCTAACATTCACTCAAATAAATAGACACTGCTTGTGTGAAATCACTTCTGCTTTCAGACCAAGATGTAATAGGTGACACTATACTTCAATGATATCAGAAAAAAAAAAAAAAAGTCACTCATAAGACTGACTAGAAAAAATAGCTTCCTGGTTTAAAAAGTAACAGACTCTGAACTGGGTGATTTTTAGATATTAAAGCCAGAAATAATTTAGCCTGTTTGCTTTGTAAGTCTTCCATTTATGAACAAGAATAAGAATCTATGCTACATCGGTGGTCATAACTCTTCAATTGATGCACATCATACAACGGTCATTTCTATGTCCTCAGAAAATGAAATAGCATACAAGTTTATTCTTCTCAGTATCCAGTACTTTGAAAAGTTTTCTTGTACTCCTTAAGTTCTGGAACATTAATCTTTTTCATATAACAAATATGTGTAACTGGAGTTGTAAAATATTCTAGTTTTATTAATTGATGGATAAAAATATGGAAAATACCCCAAAATGGTATCTAGCTTAACAAAAGTCATATGCTATCTCACTGAAAGATGAAGATTTGTATTTATTAGCACTCAAGTTGCAGCAGTACGTAAACTTTCAGTTTAAGAATAAAAAAAAAAAAAAAAAAAAAAAAAAAAGAAAAGAATAAGAATAACGAGCATGGTTTAATGCTGACTGGCCAAGAAGTTGGAGATCAGAAATACTGATAGCCACCAGTCATGATTCTCTGACTTACAGTAACTGGACCCTTCATTATTCAGAACTGTTCTAACACCTATAAATACATGACCATCACTCTTGTCTCCATTCAGGGTCTACAAGTAAATATTAAAAATAAACTTATTTCAGATATAAATTTGTAGCCAGGGACTGTTATATAAGAGTTACCAGAATGTTGCTAAGATCAACAGAAGTCATGATATAGTGTTTATTAGAGCTTCATAAAAGCTGCTCATCCAGGGAAATTTGACAGGAAACTGTCATCTCTTAAATCTATCAGCCCTCCCTGAAGTCAGGAAAATAAAACCTTTTACAGATTTGTCATAATGGGAGGGGCGGGAAGGGGAAGGGGGAAGAGGGAAAATTCTGGAAAAAATCTTACAAATAATTGATAGCACTGCAATTTGCAAAGCTGACAACATCAAACATTGATGATTGTTTTATGGTCTACCAAACTACAATAATCCCTCAGACTACCATACCAGGAACCTAGGATATCTGGAAAATGGGCACTGAGCATGTATGAATCAACTGCTCTGTTCATACGATATAAAGTTGATCTCTAAATACAGAACAAGTTTGATGCCTCCATGATTCAGATTTCCTACAGATGAAATCAACCATAGATTTACAATTTTGGGAATTTGTCAATAGATACAGGAAGACACTTCTCAAGTTTTGTCACACAGACATAACACTGAAGGATACTGTTTTATCAGTTAAATCTGAAACGACAATTTAGCTGATTAAAGCAATAGATCTACACCAACTTACCACCTCACCACAATGTCCTTAGAGTGCAATCAATGACTGGAGGATTAAAAGTGTAAGACTCTTCAAGATTTCCCTGAAAGAGAAAACAAAACATGTTTTATTTACTTTTCTACAGTAACACCAATAAATTCTGAAGGGTTCAAGAATTAGAAATAGTTAGTACACTGATGATAAATAACTTATGCAAACTGCTACTACTGAAAGGCATCAAAACAAAGTGGAATTTCTAGGCTAACTGTGATGTAAAACAGTCTAGATCATAAGTAGTCATATATTAAATTACCTGAATCAGATATTTTCTGATTAAAGTGTTCATGAAACAGAAATCGTGTTTGCAGCCACATTGCCTTCATTAGAAACACTTTATTGCTGTCACTGTGTTAGACCAACTCTTTCTTATGTAGTATTCTTAGTGTAAAAATGTAGTTTCATTTCACTGAACTTATGCTATTAGCTCATTAAGTACACCAGAGATATTACCAAAACCTGTAGTACTTGCACAGGCAGTATCTTAATCAGTAAATTACTTTAACAGTTTGTGAAAACAGAGATGTAGCCTTGTCAGTAGTAAAACTATCTGTTCACATATCACAAACCAGTGTCAACCTCTAAGATAAGGGTGTCCATTCTAACTCACTTATTTAACTCTTTCTCACTAGAAGTGAGGCTTATAGAGGTTCTGTAAACTACCCAAGTCAAAACTGCTGAGTGTCAAGTACACACTGAATGCAGAAATCATCTTTACATCTTATATTTGGATGTCACTGTAGGAAGATACAATTAAAAAGCACCTTTAATATCAGTCATGCATACTTTCATACTTTGCTTTTGGATGGATTGAATTGTCCCCTAGCTCTACACTGGTCTGACTTCATATTATTTATAGCTTGAGAGTAAAAGATATTTGCTTCTGTGACAAGAGCATTTCTATCATGCAAATATATTCCTTTCTAAACTGACTGTTTCTTTTGTTTCTTCTTCATCTTATTCATACCTTCTTCCTTTTCTGCTTTTGTGGAATGCACTGGCCTGTTGACCCTTCATGGAAAGAGCCTATTTTGGCTCCCAAATACTCTTAAATTATTTCATCACACATAAATAATCTAGATAAATGATCATCTACCTTTTCTTCCATAATAAAAGATTGCTTGCAGGGGAAAAAAGCAAATAAAAAAAACTCCAAACCCGAACTGTTTTCTCATTATTGTACTAAGCAGGAAAATTCTACATTTTGGTGGGGCTGAGGTTGGTATTTTCATACTGGATTAATTTATTACTTCACCTGTGCCATCATCACAGGACGTCTTCTCTATAACATGGTTTTGTCCTTTATCCCTTCTTGTTTTCTAGCTCTAACTTGCCTACTTGTCTTTTCAAATATCTCTCCCTTCTTGAATTTTATGTACCTTAATACTTTTCATGCTCCTACCTTCCCACTGTCTTCCATAAATACCTAACTGTTCCATTTTTTTTACTGTTCTCTCTTTTTCAGTGAATAACAGCTGGCTTAGCCTGAACAGAGACATGCTACTTTACTTCTCATCCTTCTTTTACTATCCTCTATGGGCCTGGATAACATCTTCATAATCAGTAGTTCCTTTTCCCGTTTTTTTTTGTCTCTGGAATACATGTTCCACTTAAAATATAATCATGAACAAAACAACAAAAGAAGCATATTTTCATCTTTATGCTGTTAGTCTTCAGGTTTTGTAGACTACCCTGCCAGACTCCTCTCTTTGTTCTAAATAAAGCCCTCCCCAAAATATAACTGAAACGTATATTGTGATGTAAGAATGAGGTAATAATATAGATGCACAAAGATTGTCAGATTTTTAGTCTTTTTATCCCCTCTTATGTGCAGTGGACATTCAGCACACTTTCTAAATGTGCATGGTGTCCACAAATAAGTTAATGACTCACTATTGAAAAGTTAACCTTCCACTAAGACAAGCAATGTTAAAAAAGAAACATTTTCTGTTGCCCAAAAACATAAGTGTAACTGGCATTGCCAAGACTTTTGTACTCTGACCAGAAGTACTTTGCCATTCTATTGAATGTGATTGTTCTCTGCAATGCTTTTCATATTCAAGGATCATATCGTGCAAGCTCAAGAGCAGTCCATCTCAATAATCAGGAAGTCAGGCAAATATGATGGGTAACCTGCATGGATGGACAAGTCATTCTTTGCAAAACTCAAACATAAAAATGGAGTATATGAATGATGGAAACAGGGACAAGTAATCTGGGAGGAATACAGAGACACTAAGTATGCAGAGACGCAGGTAGGAAAATGAAAGCCCAGGAATAGAATATGGTGGGGGATGTCAAAGACAACAAGAAAGGCCTCTAGAAGTATATCAACAGGTAAAGGAAGACTAGGGAATATGTGGACCCACTGCTGAATGTGGCATGGGGCCTGCTGAAATCGGAAAAGGCCGAGATACTGAATGTCTTCTTTGCCTTGGCCTTAACTAGTAAGACCACCCTTCAGGAATCCCAGAGACCAGGGCAAGTTTGGTGCTACAGGCACATCAGGCCTTACTTACCTGGGAAGATGATAGAGCAGCTAATCTTAAAAAACAGTTCCAGGCAGTTGAACGACAAGGAAAACACAGAAGCAGTCATGCTTGACCAAGGGGAGTCATGCTTGACCAACCTGATAAAATTCTATTGTGAAATGACAGTCTTGTTATACAAGGGGAGAGCAATGGATACTGCCCCCCTACACTTCCATATGGTTTCTGACACTGTCCACAGCAATACTTTATCAGAGATGATGGCAAAGTATGGGCTGGATGAGCAGACAGTGAGGTTGAGTGAAAATGGGCTAAATGTCTGAAGTTCAGAGCATTTTTATCAGTAATACAAAGTCTACTTGAAGGCCAATAACTAGCTGTGTGCCCCAGGGATCAATATTAGGTAATACTATGTTCAGTACCTTCATTAATGATCTAGAGGATGGGACAGGCTGTAGACTCAGAAATTTTGCAGGTGACAAAACTGGGAGGAGTGGCTGATACACCAGAGGTTTGTGCTGCCACCCAAGGGGACCTCAACAGGCTGGACAAATGGGCTGACAGAAACCTCATGAAGATTAACAAGCAGAATTGGAAAGCAGTTTTACACAAGTGGCCCTGAGGGTCCTTGTGGACACCAAGATGAACATGAGCCTGCAATGTGCATTTGCTGCAAAGGCAGCCAACACCTCCCTGGGCTGCAGTAAGAGCAGTGTTGCCAGGAGGTCAAGGGAGGTGATCCTTCCCATTTATTCAGAACTAGTGAGGCCACACCTGGAGTACTGTGTCCACTTCTGGGCTCCCAGTACAAAAGAAATATGGGCATACTAGTGAGAAACAATTAAACGCCATGGAGATTATTGAAGAGACTGAAGCATCTGTCCAGTGAGGAAAGGCTGAGACAGCTGGGAATGCTCAGCCTGGAGAAGAGAAGGTTGAAGGGGAAATTCATCAATGTATATAAATGCCTGAAGGGAGGGTGCAAAGGAGACTGATTCAGGCTCTTTTATTTGGTGTCCAGTGACAGGACAAGAGGCAATGGGAACGAGGAAACACAAAAGGGTCTGTCTGTACATCAAGAAACAGCTTTTTACTGTGAGGGTGACTTAACACTGGAGCAAATGGTGCCCATAAACAGCTGTGGAAACTCTATCCTTGGAAATATTGAAAAGTCATCTGGACATGGTCCCGGCAACCTGCTCTAGGGAGCTCTGCTTGAGCAAGGAGGTTGGTCCCAATCCAACCTCGGCCATTCCATGATCCTGTGATATTTTATTCATGGCACTTACAGTTTGGGTTTTTTCCATCCACTTAGGCAGATTGTGATTGATAAAAACCTTCCACCTTTTTCTATATCTCATTGGTGACATTCAGAAGATGTAATATTCCTAATGATTTGGGATAGAATAAAAGGCAAAGAAAAAGCAATAAATGGAAAATAACAGACAAGAATATTTTGACCTTAAAATTCTCTTCCCTAAACTTTAGGGGAAACTGTTTGTGTCATCATACAATAGCAGTTTCAGATAAAAATGTTTTTTGAAATGCACTGCACATGCAACACAAAGTTGTTTAAAATAGGCAGGTAGAGAACTTTTTTTCCCTAAAAACCATAACTATGTTAAGACTTGGTGACATTTAAGGAAATAATGAAGTTGGAGCAAAGTTTGTTGGTTCCTCAGATTCTTTTTTTTTTTGAGGAGAAGCACAGCTAAGACATTCAGAAAAAAAAAAAAAAAAAAAAAAAAAAAAAAAAAAAAAAAAAGATAAAGATACTTCCAGAAATAAGAAATAGTTTGAGAAAATGACAACAAAGTATCAGTGACATGGCTTTGAAATGGTCTTTTTCTCCTGGATTTAATTTTAAGCATGATCATGGATCTAGGCATTTATGACCTCCAAGTACGCAAAGATGTAGAGACATAAAAATCTCATCATCAAGATTCCTGATTATTCATGGAAGGTACAATACAGTCTTGATCCAAACGTCACTGAAATAAATACAAATCTTCCAACTATGTGATTAGGCTTCAGTCTGACCTTTCAGATTAACAACTTGATGAAGCACATGAATGAAGATCCTGAGTATTACTATAGACTAAGAATTCTTGATTGTAACACAAATTAATGAAACAAAAAATATTTTGGCAAACTGTAGAATTTTAAATTTGGATTTATCTCCTTTCCCAACAGCACAATAAATTGTGAGGTATTTTTGTCAAACTAAATCTGAATATTTCAGTGGAAAATCTCACCCAGATCTACTACAAAACAGAAAGTAAATGAATTACACAGAAATTCTACATGTTACACATTTAGAAGTACTAGAACACTGGAAAAGAATATGGACTGGAAAGCTTCTGACCATGTACAATCTTTTTTGTAAAGTGAGGTTTACAAAAGAATAACAAGGTCTTTTTTTTTTCTGGTGTTACAGTCTAAGGAAGTGAAAGTGGCAAGATAGAAATACGCAGTTGTCTACAAGACACTTTTTCAGCTATTGGTCAAAGTCAACATTTGTTAGCAAATATGCATTTCTTACCCTCCTGTGCCCTCA